AAAGAACAAGAAAAATCCAGGAATAATCGATAGGTTTCATTCAAGTGGCGAGAAATGTAGCGACCATTCATTCATGTGTATGCTTACAGCTGTCAAGCTGTTCCCCAAACTGTTCTCCTAACCATGCAAGGGCTACCCTTGATGAGTGGGGAATGCCACATGCCACCCCCCCTACCCCCCCTACCCCCACCCCTGTTGAAACCAGGCCTCCCCAAAAGCATAACGCCTTCTTCTCCCAACACTTTCCCACAAACTTTCTCAGCCTGATGAGATAGATATCCTTTATCTGAAGTGACAGCCATTGTGTTTGCTGTCATTGGCCTAAAACCCTAAAACCAGAATCGGCTGATGACGACCCTCTAGCTGAACGCTTTTAAAAAACAAAGCTTTGCGATTTACTCAGTTTTGGTCCAAATTGTTTAAACTTTTTTTAAACATACCTATTGATTTTCTTCATATTGACCAGTATAACATCTCCCTGGTTGGATTTTGTTTGTAGATCTAGCAAGTTTTGTTGAAATTAGTGAAAAAATGACCGTGGTTGGTTGGCGGGTACTCTGGTGTGGTTTGCTTCTTCTGTCCTATCAAACATATATCGTCTGTATCTCTCCTCTTTCTTTTTCGTGAGTTTGTTACTATCTTGTAACACCTCTAATCTTCGGCAATTATATGACCTTATTGTGTTGCAAGTGCCGCAAAACTCTTACTAAAACTAAAAAAACGAAAACTTTAAAAAAGTGACCGAGTTGTTGCCCTTTCGAATGAGGCCTCTTTTATCATACACCCTGTATTTTTCTTGTAGTTAAAATGTGTTTTATCTTCATATCTGTTGTATCTTTCAGCCACAAATTGGTTTACATCTGATAGAATTCTGTGCCTTCTTTACATTATGTATATAGGAGAAGGTATAGAAGATTACAATAAACTTTAGCATCTCGTCCAAAAGGTGTTGTTTGGGTATTCATTTTAATGTTGCTTTTTGTTGTTGCTGTTGTTGTTGTTGTTTGTTTAGTTTACACACATTTTGTTCATATATGTAAAACGTCTCCAAAGCTTGGTTTCTTCTGTTCAGCTTCTACAAACTTTGTGTTTAATTTAGTAAATAATGCTGTTTTGGGATAGAAATTGAGAAATATCATTCACCTGAAACTTTTTTTAAAATCGTCTCTCCTGCCTGTCTGCCTTGGAGTCCACATTTCCCCTTTAACCCCCCACCCCCTTCTGTCTCTCTGTCGGTCTCTCTGTCCGTCTGTCTCTCTGTCTGTCTGTCTGTCGGTCGGTCGGTCTCTCTGTCCGTCTGTCTGTCGGTATTTCTGTCTGTCTGTCTGTCTCTCTGACAGTCACTCACTTTATCTATCTATCTATCTATCTATCTATCTATCTATCTATCTATCTATCTATCTATCTTTCTATCTATCTATCTAATCCAACCCAATCAGTCAGCTTATAAAGTCAATCAAGGCACAGAAACAGCCCTGACAAAAGTTGTACAAGATATCTTCATAGAATCAGATGCTGGTAAAGTTGTAATGCTAAATTTATTAGATTTGTCAGAAGCTACTGACACCTTTGGTCACGCAATTTTACTTAAAAGTTTAGAAAATAAGAGACAATTAACGTTAATGGTTCTGCTCTCAGGTGGTTCAACAACTATCTGTCCTTTCACTGCCAGTCTGTTGTGGTAAAAGACATCACGTCACACAAGGGCATTCTTATATTTGGTGTTCCCCAAGGTTGAGTTTTAGGCCCAGCGTTATTCACAAAATATACACAACCACTTGCTGTCGAAATACGAAAGTACCCACTCAGCTACCATTTCTACTTGATGGCACACCGATAACCTATAATCTAGGGCTCTTTTTAAGCCATGCAATTCCAAAGAATTTATAGAAAGAGTAGAAAAAGCACGGAAAAATTGGTAAAGGAAATATGTGAAGGCAAATTAATGCTGAACTATCCAATTAATGATGTAAATACACATGTAGTGGCCAATTAGAAATTGAAGAATATCCCCAGAAATCAACGTTTCCATCACAATCTCCTTCTTTGAGATAAAGCAAGGACATAAACTATTGTCTTCAAAATGGCCAGGAAAACTAATAACTTAACGCTTTGTTATAGTTGAGCATACTTTCAGGCATCTTTGTACATCATAAAAAGAATCATAATTAGAAAATAGCAATTTTGTTGTTTGAGGTACTGTCAAAAATACTACACATTGAGGTTTGGGATATTAAGATATTATTTTATCCTTCTTTGGGTAGAGTATTCTCCTTTATTTTACTTTTTCTTTTTAAAAATTCATACCAGTTTTTGCACAGGATTTGATACAAAGAAAGGTAGTATGTAAACAGCGTAGTAAGGGTTGTTTTTTTGGGTTTTTTTGTTTATTGTTTTATTTGTATATTTGTTGGTACTGCTGCCTTGTTTCCGCGTCTGTCAGCTGCTTGTATGCTTGGGAGCTGGGTTTTAGTCGGCCATGACGTTGTTAAGGGGACATAATTGTATCTGATCAGAAAACAACTTGTAATTCACGAGTCAATTCCCCGTAAACACAGAGCGCTTTAGGGAAACCAAATTTTATTATAACCCCCTCCAAAAAAAATATTAAAAAATAAAAATAAAAAAAATAAAATGAAAACAAAAACGAAAATTCACCTGTGCCCCGTCAACATGGCTGGCTG